TTCTTGGGTGGTTTTATATTTTTATTTATTTATTTTTTGGCCTTAGGGAGTGTTGGATGAGCAATTTATACAGCTGCAACAATTGCAAGATGAGTCCTCCCCAAACTTTGTCTTAGAGGTTGTCAACATATATTTTCAAGAATCCGAAAAGCTCCTCAAGAATCTCAGAGGCTTGCTGTGAGTTTTTTTTTTTTAATTAATTATGTTTCTATTTGTACTAAAAATTTGGTACTTAGCATGAAAGTTGTTCTCTTGATGCTTTTTATAGACCTTGGCAATTGGCATGTGCATTCTTTGAGGCTATAGTCTCTCTTCCAATGCGTACCATCACACCACATTTTCACTTTTTGGTGATATTTTTATTTATTTATTTATTCACTTAGTTAACTTTTTGTGTTCTATATGATAATATATTTGATTTTAGGGTGGATAAGGAATTTTCGGACTATAAGAAAATGGGAATGCATTTGAATCAGTTGATGGGAAGCAGTTCAAGCATTGGTGCGCAACGGGTCAAAAACGTGTGTGTTGCATTTCGGGCTGCATCCGAGCTGAATAATCGGGCCGGGTCGGTTTCGACCCCTTTCCTTCGTCAAATTCTTTTCCTTTTTCGCATTGTGTCTGTGTGTGTGTGTGTGTTTTTATTTTTTTTTTTTGGCCTCTTTTCACAAAATCCATGCACAGTAGATTTGCCCATATAATCTGAACTCCAAATTCTTATATAGTTGAAAAAAATTACTGGTAATTGCTAGTATTTTTTTATTTTTATTTTTTCAAATTTCACCATATTAATTAAATTAAATTATTTTAATAACAGGTGCTTGAGAGCATTAGAGGTGCTAGAATGTGAGTATTGTTATCTCAAGAGCAAACTGCATGAACTCTTGGAGGTAGGCCCCATTAACACTCAAATTACATACAACAATTGGGCTGATTATATATAGATTAATTATGTATATATATACACATTAACTGAGATTGAAATGTAATTAATTATTAATACTATTTTTGTTTCGGGGAATATATCATTTTCAGATTGAGCAGCAAAGAACGCTAGCAGCTTCAGTAAGATACCCTCAGCAACAGCACCCAAACAACCCCTGAGAAAGGGCTACCAATTTAATTGAAGAAAATGTGTGTGTGTGTGTGTGTGTGTGTGTGTGTGTTTCTCTTTGTTTTTTAATATTTTTTTTTTTCTGTTTGATTTTAGTAGCAGAATCAAATTGCAGACAGAAAAGGGTGAAACAGAAAGTGATTCTGCTGATGGTGACAGGATTTCACCTGCATTTAATGCAAATATTAATGTTCCTATTTTCCAAAGTCTTTTGTTTTGGTGATTGAGATTATTTTTTTTTTTACTTTCATGCTCTTTTTCTTGTTGGCTGGCAGTTAATTAATTTATTTATGGAGTTGGTAGTTGAACCCAACAGCTTATGATTCTCATGTCAAATTAATCCCAGTCCCAACACTTTACATTTACACATGTTGAATACTTCTGCTATTTCTTTCGTCCCAGCTTGTGAGTTTGTGTGAATGCGTGGCAAAAAACCATTGTTTTTAACCCGAACCGGCTTGGCGGGTCGACTTGCGACCCTGCCCACCCGTAACCGGTCTGGATAGGTTATTTGGACCGAGTAACAATGAACCCGGCCTTGACCTGCTTGACCCAGGCCATTGACCCGACCGGGTCAACAAGGCGGTCCTTACATATTTTTTATTCTTAAATTTTTTTTTTTATAAAAATAAAAACTATATAAATATATTGATATAATAAATATCATTGTGAGATAAATATTTACAATATTATGTACACTCATATGTACAATATTATGTACTTGTAGCATTACTCCAAATGTTATATACAAAAAACATTAATTTTTGTTACTTTTATGTATATTTATATGTCAAAAATACTATATATATTATTTATAATTTTTAAAATTAATTATCCGATTCAAGAATTAACCAGAGTCCCGACGGTTGAACCGGTGACCCAAAGACCTGTCCAACACGATTTTCAGACGGGTTTAAAAACTATGTTAAAAACCCCATGGGGTCACTGGACCATGAGGTAGTATCGACTTTGCCCGAAATGGGTTAAATGGACTAGGTGTTAAGAAAATATTTTAGGGAAATTTTTATCTATGCGATAAGATAAATAAATATTTTCAAGTTTACCCTTATCTGAAAGTATTTACAACTATACCTAAAGAAACTAATTTATTTATTATATTGCATCAATATCAGTTACAAGGTAACGTAACCACTCCAGCTGAAGTGACCGCGCGTCGCAACGCGTCAAATTAATATTTATATTTTTCCTCGACAAACCTCTACTAGCTAGTAGTAATGGCAAGTAAGGGTCGATCCCACGAGGAGTGTGAATTAAATTATGAATTTCTCGTATTAATTGAAATATAAAAGCAATAAAAGAGGGGGTTTTGATTTTAAGAACTAAATTAACTAAAGCAAATAAAATCTAAACTAATAAAATAAAAATAAAAATAAATAAATTAGGAGAAATTTCTAGTTCAAGGTTCCGTTTACACCCTCGACTGACACGTCTAATCAATTCTGGCATCAAATCTCGCTATATTATGAAATTACTAGCCCTAGGTAACGACACGGTCTGTTACCCGAATTTTTCCTTATTTTTAATCTAACCGCGAGACGCTCTACGATTAAATCTGACCTCTTGAACAGTCTAGGAAACGCTTCCTAAATTTAATTCAATTAGCCGCTTTACGATTTAGAAAAATAGGCTAGACTAAGTAGTGAACTCAACCGCGTTCGTTCACTTAAATAGGCCGTGTTATCCCCGGTAGTTACCATCTTCCGGATACCACTTGCGAATTAAACACATCAACAATTACGGATTGAAGGTCTAATTCAGGTGTAGATATGTAAAGCCTAATCTAGGTGATCAATCTAAATAAGACTCAACACATCATGGTTAATTATTCAAAATAACACAAACAATTCCAAAAAGATAACTTAATAATCAACCACGTAAATTATTCAAACATCGTCAAGTCGTAGGGTTCAACTTCCCCGGAACTAGAAAGAAGATCTACTCTAACATAATAAATAAAAATAAAAAGAAAAGAAAGAGAATAGAATTATCCTCTTTCATGTGTGGTGTGGCCTCCCTCCGCGATTGATCGGGTTCCTCGCGTATCTGTACTCTTCTCTGTTCTCTGAATTCTTTTTCCCTCTTGGTCGGCTGCGTGGTTGGGCGTCTCTCTCTATGCGTGTATTTTGCGGCTCCACTCTCTCTAATAAAAGTCATGCTTAATATACATGTTGCCAAGCCTAATTCCTTTCCAAAATAAATTCTCCTTCGGCTGCGTGGGTAATATGCTTAGTCCAAGAATTAATTGTGCTTCTCAATTTTTTTGATCTCCAACTATGCATTGCGTGGGCTTTACTTGTGAAGTCCAAATGCCCAAATAAACTCCAATAATTTAGGCTCTTTTGCATATATGGGCCGGTTTTGAGCAGGTATGGGGCACTTTATACTGTCTGCCTTGTCGTCTATAAAAATAATCCAATATCCTAAAAATAAACCATAAATATAGCATAGCATTTAAATCCATCTAATAAATAAATAAGTCGAAAAATATAAGCGTGCAAATAAATTAGATATATAAAAATACACCTTTAAATATATAAAACATGCACATTTTACGACCTATCATGAAGGTCCCGTGATTTCCGCCATGTCTACCAGGAGAAAAAAGAAAAAAAAAACTAATCTTGAGTTTATGTTAGTATATATTGAGTTTATGTTAGTATATATTCCACTCAAGCAGTCGTCAGGTAGTATATTTTGAGTTTATGTTAGTATATATTCAGTGTATGTTGCAATATTATAATTCACGCAGCCGTCAGGTGGTATATTTGGAGTTTATGTTAGTACATATTCAGTATATGTGCAATAAAACAAGTCTTCCAGATAAAAGTTACTTCGGATATACTCGAATATACCCAACATATAACCCCAAGAAAAAAAAGGAATTATTAAACAGATAACCAGAGAAAAATTACTTCGGATATACTCGGATATACCCAACATATACCAACTCGGTTTTGTAAATATACCTTCGAATTATGTACATTTTCAACTCAGTACCAGTCTATTGACAGTATCAAGATAAGGACAGTCCCTTCTCACTTTAATCGCACGACCTCGCCTGCCTTTCCCTGCGTCATCTTCTTCTTCGTCTCCGTCCTTGATTGCCTCCAGC